TCCTGCTGAGTCTCCACATGCACAAGATAAATGTACATGTGCATCTTCAAGGTCAATAGGAGATGCGCTTGTCTTTTTCTTATACAGATCTTGATTTACAAGTACCCACTTTGCATGACTTGAGCAGAAAACCCAGATTTTAAGTAATTCAGTAAGTAACAAGCAGATAAGATTAGAACAGCGGAGGATTTATAGAGTTTTTTGTTTTGGTAGTCCCCTGGAAGAAAATTTCTTGGCAATACAAAGGTCCTGGTTTCAAATTATATAAGGAAGCATTTTCAAAGCTTCCATTTGGAGTTAACTTCTGTTGTGCTTTTGTAAAAAACAAATCAACTAAAAATTCAAGTTCTTGTTCAAGTTCCCTGTCAAATGTATTAGATATTTATCCATATAGGGCTCTTATAATGCCATATAAAGCCATTTATTGCAGCATTTGGATTTATTACATTGAATGTAGTGTGCACCAGTTTACTTGTGCTGTTTTCTTCTCCTCAGCTCCACAGTCTCACCAATGGTATTCTTGGGGTCCACCTAATATGCAGTGTAGATTGTGTGCATCTTGCTGGATTTATTGGAAGAAATACGGTGGTCTGAAAATGCCCACACAGACAGATGAAGATAAACTGTCTTCCAGCCAACCTACAGAGGTAGGATTGTGTAGATAAACTTTCCTAAAACAAAATGTGTTGCTTTCACAAGGCTGCTGTGATTTGAATATTTAATGCATTATTTTTTTTATGTATGTGTTCACCTTCGGTATTACAAAACTCAATTTATTAATCCTTCTCCTGTCTTAAGTAGAACTGAACAGTGTGCAGGTTCTGCCATGTCTTTATTTGACTAAGTCTTTGATAAACAAGTATCCACTTTATGCATTTTTGGTGGACAAATGTCATCTTGTCAACTAAATAGTCATATTAACATTTTAGAGATAATAATGCAATATCTCATCTAGAATGGTATTATGTATCCACTCACAGCAGAGTTCTCTACTTTGTGTTTATAGCTTCATACATAAGCCCCAGTTCTTTGTATAGCGCTTATACATATTATAGATATTTGATTACACTTGTGAATTCATCCAAATTGCGTATTTTTTTTCAATGCTGTAATTCAGATGTATGTGTTATGATTTTTTGTTTGTTTTTGTAGGAATCCCATGTTAGAACTCACATGTCCCGGCAGGCCACACAGGGAACTCCAGTTCGTAATACTGGAAGTCCAAAGTCGGCAGTGAAAACACGTCAAGCTTTCTTTCTTCACACAACATGTTGGACAAAACTAGCCCGTCAGGTCTGCAAAAATACCCTCCGGCTGCGGCAGGCAGCAAGACGTCCCTTTGTCCCTATTAACTGTGCTGCCATTAAGGCAGAATGTAAGATGTTTTTTTAATTCTTAGTTCTGTGTGCTGTGCTTCCCACCCATTTTTGTCTTTTAATTTTATTTTCTTTTTCAATAAACATTTCTTGTCTATACGCTTTTGCTTTTCATTTTTTCATTTGTCCAGCATATCACCAACACGTTGGATAAAGTCTGTCTGCCTTGGAACAGATTTCAGTCTGGGGAAACATTTCAAATGGATTAAAAAGGGGATAGCTATTACCTCATTCACTTACAAAAAGTTTTAACTTAAAAAAAAGATCAGGAGCAGGGAGGGTAAATCAATGCCATGACATAAAAAAACGTCCCTCCTACTAGGCAGTGTGAAAGAAGTTCGCTTTTCTATTGTTTCTTTATTTTTTCACCAAACAGAAGGTATAAATCTGTACATGGTTTACTTTTTCTCAGTGGGGTTGATCAAGGAATAAGGAGCTGAGGATGCATAAGAAATGAAATCCGGCCTGCAATACAGCCCTTTGTTACTGTGGTGATCAGATGGTGGTGATAGCCATGTTTATTATTACATCATAGTTGCATAGGGTTGGTTTTTTTTTTTGTCTGTTCCAGTTCCAAATAAAATTCTGGATTATGCTTGTTCTTTTTGTAGCCAAAATATAAAGAACTGATAAATTTTCTATCAGTATGACAAAAGATTTTGAGTTGTTGTAGATAACAACAGAAAGTCTCTTTATGTCCATACGTGTAGAAATTCTGCTGCAAAGTCACT